TAGGGCCAGTCTCCTCCCACTTAGGAACGCAAAGAAAAATACAAAGAACATTAGGGTAGGTATTGCACTTAGGTACTTGCTCAATCTTTCAAAACAATTTTCTAAATACACCTCACAATTTTCAAAAACAAACTCAACGTAACACTTTGTACCAACACCCGAAACGAAGGGTTAATACAAAGTTAAAAGTTGACTTTCAAACACACTTTTGCACACAAGTCTTTTGAAAACAAACATACAAAACGAGCTAAGTACCTAAGAGCCCGTAGAGGACTACGGATGTGAAGGGTGCTTTACACCTTCCCTTCTTACCTCCCAGACCCAAAACTATTTTTCAAAGGTCTTTTCTTGTTCTTTTAGCCTTTCCTTAGGATAAAATAAAAGTCGATGGCGACTCTTGCTATCCGCACATTTCAAACGAGAAATAAAAAAGTCAGTTCTCCCACCGTATTACACCATTATACGCATTTATTATTACATGAACATATATTAACTATTTGTAATATAACCGAGTATTTTAAGACAATATACTTTGATAAAAATTCTTGGATAACATGAATTTTTTCATTGATCAACAATTTTGAGTTACTCCAACCATTAGAAACTGATGTAAAAACACATAAAAATTGAAAGAATCATATGCTATGGAGTATGAAAATGCAACTTTTGCAAGAATATTTCTTACCTGTATGAAAACGAATTTGGAGGTAGCATTTCCATTGAATTTGCTAGATAATTATTTTATAATTATAATGGGATGTATGTGACCATGAGCTCGACATATCCCCACAGGGTGGTGGTCGACCCGTTGAATCCCTGTAGGTTGGAACCAATGTAGGGAGCCAGGTGGCGCCTGTACAGTTGGTAACTACTAGAAATCTATTATCCCACGTTCACAATTGATCAAGGCCAGATCTTGGCACATTTCAAACTAGTAATATTGAATAATAAAAATAAAATAATAATATAATTTAAAAAATAAAGAAATATTTATTAATAAGAAATAAATTATAAAACCTATAGAACACACTTGTCTTTTATATTAAACAACATGAGTTCTATTATAGACCCACAGGGTGGTGGTCGACCCGTTGAATCCCTGTAGGTTGGAACCAATGTAGAGAGCCAGGTGGCGCCTGTCAAGTTGGTAACTACTAGAAATCTATTATCCCACATTCGCAATTGATCAAGGCCAGATCTTGGCACATTTCAAACTAGTAATATTTAATAATAAAAATAAAATAATAATATAATTTCAAAAATAAAAAAATATTTAGTAATAAGAAAGAAATTATAAAACCTATTGAACACACTAGTCTTTTATGTACACAAGTGTTCTATTATCGATCCAATGTGTTCTATGGGAACAAAATTTCCTAAAATCTACATTAAATGATAATTTGACCATTATTATAGTAATTGTCATTTAATTGTCTTTAAGATCTATGAAAATAAATGTTTTAATTGAAATCTCAAAAAATTGGGTTTCCAGTACATACCATAAAAAGACTTTTCAAAAGAAATTTACCTTTTATAAATTCTAACATTATTTATTTTATTCTTTATTCTTTTATTTTTTTTCAATTATTATTTCTCAATTCCTTTTGAAACTTTAGTAATATTGAATAATAAAAATAAAATAATAATATAATTTAAAAAACATCAATTCCACAAATCCACATCCAGATACTCAGCAAAACTCAAGAAGACATCATTAAACAATCTCAATCACAATTAGCACAACGACATAATATACATCAACACATAAACTCAACAAAGTGTGAAAGTGAGACTCGACGCAACGACACAACTTATTCATGTGGTACCAACTTTGTTATCCTTCGGACCTGCCAATGTCTATCTCTCAGACGAATAACCATAAAAGCCCATTCTCTAAGCTTTCAGACCCCCTCTCTGAGCCTGGGACAAGCCACTAGCCTCCACGAGACTAGCAGACATTGCCTCTTGACATGACAAATGATGCAGTGTGCAAACTCAACAACAATACATCCAATTAAGACCCCCTCTTTGAGCCTAATATACATGCATATCTCAACAATTCAACTCTATGAATTAACATCAACAATTGCACACTATGCATCAAATAATCATCTCAAACATATCTCCTATAACATTTAGCACATAAGCATATTATGTTATTCACATCATCAACAATTCACCATATACATATACCGAAACAAGTATCATGCATATACATAGCATAAAGCCACTCATCGTCTCCAAAACATATTCATACACACATAATTACCAATTAGCAATTATATTCACAACTCAAAGTAACACTAGTAAATATACTATCTCATGTTAATTTAATTAGTTGCCAAAAATATATAAGGGGAAACACAACTCTACCCACATCTCCTAATCCACGAATTCACGCCCTCCGGCTACTCGTTAAAATGCTCGCAAAACAATATAATCGGCATTGTAATATTTCATTTTCAGTATAAATATTCAAGCCTAAAACCCAATTCCGGTCACCCTCGTAAAATGCCTCAATTTCGAAAAACTAACGCAACCACATTAATTTACTCGTTAAACTTAGCTACCACGTCCATTTTCATCAAATTCCAGGCAACTAATTTTACCGCCTAAATCGACTAATCGGACTAAACGATACTATTTTCGCTTATTTCTAACCTAACCGACTCATCGCCGATTCAAAGTTACCGGCTTAATTTTTATTCACTTACTAACCAATTAATACGGCTCCGATATTGATCTACCTTTATTCTGAACTAATACTAAATTATGTGCTTCAGTAATTATTTCTCTGTACTTGTTGATCGGTAAAATAGCAAGTGTACTATTTTGCCTTATAGTGATAATAGGGAATTCTCCCCAGATATCGATCTCGAGGACTGTGTGTGTTATCGAGTTTAACTTTTAATTCAATTAAACAAAAACTTAATTTGGGGGTTTTGGTTTATGCGTAAAACAAGAATAATAACTTAAAAACTTTTAACAAGAATGAAAAACATGCAAGGGTAGGTGTGTCTATTAACACTGTAACAACTCTGATTCCTAATTGTACGAAATATTTGCATGTCAATTAAAAGTTCTCAAGGGTGTCTACTCCTAAGTCCTTAGTGAGAAGACCTATGAACCTTCATCATAAACCCTAAGTCCTTAGAGGCTTACAAAGAAACCACACCTTATATTATCAAGATTTAACCTGGTTACTATATGGTATCCCTAGTCCTAGGTGATATCTAATATAGCATAATCATACAAAAACCTTAACAACGGCGGTCCAGCCTATTTGTTAACCGTGAATCAATCCCTATTGGTCCGACGGGGAAAACATTAAGAACATAATACGATTAAATTAAACATACAAACAATATCATACTAAAAAGATGAAATCAGATTCATTACAAATGTTAATCAGGACCACCCCCTAGCATTGGGGGGTTTAGCCTCTCATAGTATTCAAAATATAAACAATCATAGATTTAGACATTACAAAAGGAATGGATTCTTCGATCTTCAATTGCTTCCGCGCATGAATGGAAGACCTTCGATCAAACTCGCAATACTAACCATTCAAAACATGAAAACTTCTAGACTTAGAAATAAACTCTTAAAGTCTCCCATAATACACAAAATCAATCTTCAAGGACCACCCGAAATGTCACCATTCCAACTCACATATCTAAGGAACTCACGTCCAACGGTCCAAAACTCTTTCTTAGAAGACTAAGCATACACTGCTCTAACTTCATTACTGACAATACAAAACTCGGATACATAACCCGACCTCCTTTACCTCTGTCATACCCCAAATTTGCCCTATCCTAATCTAGGGTTTTTCTTCAAATAAATTTTAGTTTTCACTTTTATTGGGGTATTTAAAGTTAAAGGGGTGTGTTGATGTAAAATAGACCATCAATATCTGATGGTCCATTAAGCTCTAATAAAAGTCCATTTCAAATTGAGGGAAGTGTATTTATTTCATAAGGCCCATTTAGATTAATTGGTGTATAAAATATTTTATTTTGTTTTAAGCCCAATATTTAAGAAACAGTGGCCCATTTCAGTTTTTTTGAGTTTGTTTGAAAAAAATTTTTTGTTATAATATTATTATTATTTATTTATAATAATTAATAATAATTATACTAATTTTTTTTTTAATTAAGACATTACTAAAATTGATTTATGTCTTAAAAGAGAAGTGTTACGGCCAATTCAATTTCTGTTCTTAAAAAAACAATGTTTGTTTTCGTTTTTAAATTATAAACATTATTATTAAAATCAACATCATTTTTTTATTTTTAACATTATTAAAATTATAACTAATATTATTTTTATAAATCACTATTATTTTTAGTTATACTTATGTCACATTATAAAATTCTATTTTGTTTGCTGATTAGAAAAAACATTTCTTATAAAAAATGGAAGTACAATTTCAATCAAGCCCAGTACGAATTAGAAAAGGACTCAAAACGTCCAAAAAGCGTTCAATGAGAAAAAGCAATGCAAATGGGTATTGTGCAAATCAGAAGGCAAAAATGTTGTTGTACATTAACTTTCCGAATACTGCATCCATGTTTCTTTTCAAAACAGAACAATATCATCGAATCAAAGTATCTTGGCATTAAATCCATAATACATAATCAAATGGGAAACAAAATTACTGCAGGCCATAAATCGGAATTTTATATCAAGTCATAAACAAATTCAACAATAACTTTCACAAATTAAAATCACAGACAAAATCAACTCAAAACAGAAACAACTTTATTCAGCATTCAAGGACTGATTCAATATAAATACAGCAAATCAATACAAGTTTCCTAATCAAAAATCAAGAATAATAGCAACATTAACTTACTTCCTAATTCATAAATTCCTAAATCACTATAAAACTAAAACAAATTAGAAGTAAAAAAAAAAAGAGGGGACAATAGAAAAGGTTAACGAAAAATGTTACAGTAGAAGAAAAGCTACAGAAAAAAGAAAAATAGAGTGAAGTTTTACATAAACCTCTCCTCGATCTCCCTCCACCGCGAGCAGATCTGCAACTCGCGTCCTACACCAACGAAGTCATCAAACGACCACCTCCTCCCGACGGCACATCGGACCACGCCCGTTACCGTGTCATCACCTCCCTGTGAACGCCTCAAACGATTAGAAATCCTCCAATCTCAGCCCAACAAACACCATCATCATGATCGCACCTCTCACCGTCCAATTCCGTTGAAACCTTCACGCCGCCACGAGCTGTAGCTTCCTCCGTCGGTCATCCATTGACGAACCAACCACAAACCAGATCTGCGACACATCGACATTGATGGTAACCCTTATCTTAACTTGTTATTTTTACGTGGATTGGACTGGTATGTTTGCAGTGTTTGGATTAAAATAAAAGGAGGAACAAAGGTCTTCTTCTAACAGCCCAGTTCTATTAGCACCTCTTTAGGTTTTCTTCTAATTAAATTCTTTTCATTTTAGATAATTAACTATTTTAAGTAATTATTTTTATTTTAGTTAATTTAATTAATTAGCTTAATTAGGTAACTGGGTTTAATTAGGTTATTAGTACATAATCTTTAGAATTCTTTTATCTGATTGAATTAGTCTTAGTATCATAATTAATCGATAATTCATACATAAATCTAAATATTTTTCTAATCTAGTTAATTTAATATTTCACATCAAAATATTAAAATTCGCATAATTCACCAACGAGCAACACATGGCCAATATCTGGCCACGTGACGAGGGAGACTTTATCAGACTCCCTCCGTATCCTTCACGACGAGTAACGCGCGGCCAATATCTGGCCGCGTGACGAGGAGACTATATCAGACTCCTTTGCTCTACGTATAAAAATACGCAAACAAACTTCAAATTATTTTTGTAATAAATTAAATCAAACAATTAATCTTCAAAAAGGAATGCAAAGAGTTTTTTTTATTAACTTCGCGTTTAGTTCAAAATCTTCGCTATCTACACATTCAAACTAAGTGCGTGGAAAATTAAAATATCCGCGTAATCCATAAAAAACACAAACCAACCGCGAACTACGAAAATGAGACTCTTATTCCTCCTAAGGAGGATATGTAGGCATACGATCAAAAATCGTTGCGAGTCCCCCTAACTAAAATTCAAACCCTTTTCCCTTATTAATAATAATTATCCTATTTCTTAAAAATAATGCTTCTAAACCTAGTATCCTTGTGAACAAGGTAGATAAGGGGTGCCTAACACCTTTCCCTCGTCTAGAACTGAGTCCAAATCTAGAATCTCTGAACTTTAGGGTTATTCCTTTATACTCCCTTCCTTTAGGATAAAAATTAAGGGTGGCGAATCTGATTTAAAAACCAGTTGCAACAGCTGGCGACTCTGCTGGGGACCCAACCTTAGGTTTAGGAGTCTTGTCCATTAGTTTTAGGGTTTTAAGGGGTTTTTTATTTTTGGGTTTTTTACATTTGTTTAGTTATTGTTTATTTATTTATTTGTTTATTTTCTTGCTTTCTCTTATTAATCATTACATTTATATGTCAGTGACGGGTTTTTAAATTTTGCAACTTTTTTTAAACCTTAGAAAGAAGGTTCGTCTATTAGCCAAGGGGATACATCATCCCTATGAGTTTATGTGACGACTTCGCCTAGAGTCGATGGAATTCCGCAAAAGAAATACGTCTCGAGAGACATCCTCTTGGGAAGAATGACTTTGGAATGACGCCTATGACTCTTTGTATAACCCTAAACTAAAATCTCATGATGAGACCTTTCATGACCTAGAGACGAAAGTTTCGGTCTACAAAGAGACTCCACTTAAGGGAGGCCCTTGTGCCTTTCCCTCTAGTGTTATTCATGATACCCTTAAGGAAATCACCTTATAGGGAGGGTAGAATATCCATAAAACCAAACTAGAGCCTACCTTCTAAGGGTTACTGTTCACTGAATCCCGTCATTTAACACTTTATTCATATGTTCATGCATCTCTACATTTCGCATGTTCATCATACATTGGTTGCTTATCTTATTCATAGGGTATAAAGAGTAAAGGTTTTTGTGTGAGTATCTGAAAATGAATGCCAAAGGAAAACAACTCGTTCGTATCAATGTTACCAAGCCGGATGTAACTCGAATCAAAGCTGTAAAAGAATGATTGTCTGAAAGGGCCATGAAAACATTTACTTGTCGTTATGGGTATATCTTGGAATTAATTAAAATTGAAGTACAGTTGGACGCCATTTCTGCTCTAGTACAGTTCTATGATCCTCCACCGAGATGCTTCACATTTCAAGATTTCCAGTTAGCCCCGACCTTAGAGGAACTGGATAGAATTATGAACTTCTCCAAAGAGAAGGCTTATACAGGTATTGGGCAAACCTTTGATATTAAGATACTGGCCGAAGGTATGGGAATCCCCTACCCTGAGTTTGCTCTGAATTATAAGAAAGAAGGAGAAGTGCGAGGGATTAAAAGGTGTTATTTGGAGAGCAAAGCTTTTGATTTGGCAAATAACAAGGAATGGGAATCTTGTGTCTACTGTCTTGGGTTGCTCATATTTGGTGTTGTCTTATTTCCGTGCACTGTACATTATATCGACCTTGCCGCCAACAGCGTGTTTTGGGGAGCAAAAAAATTTAATACAGACCCCACTCCAGCTCTACTTGCTGATATCTACTACACCGTTCACACACGGTATGAGAATAAGAGAGGTACTTTGAATTGTTGTATTCCATTACTATACTCCTGGTTTATGACTCACCTTTACAAGGAGGATTACTTAATCCCAAGTCTGACAAGGTATGAATGGCCTCAGAAGTTAAGATCTCTTGCTGCTAGCTATGTATTATGGTATGCCAGGAAGTTAAACATCAGTGATATTATCTATAGTTATGGGGATTTTCCTAATGTCCCACTAATCGGGTCACAAGGCTGCATCAATTACAATCCCACCTTGGCCTTACGACAACTAGGGTTTCCTTTGGAAGACAAACCTTCGGATGAACAACTTCAGCAATTGATTGTTCACGACATGGGCATAAATGATAGATAATTACTCAACAAAATCATTCGGGCTTGGAGTAGGGTTAAAAAAATAAAAGCAGAGAAGAAGAATGCAGTGGCAAAAGAACCTTACACTCATTGGGTTCTAAACAGGGTACAGATTATCAAACTTCCTTTTGATATAGACCCTGAATATAAGCAAGAGGCCCCAATTACTCCTCCTATGTATTTAGAAGAGGTAGATGATCTAAAAAAGGAACTAAAGCAGGCTCAGAGAGAGAAGGAAGAACTAGAGCTCAATCTCTTTAATTTGACAAAGGAGAAAAGACAAATGCAACGCATACTCGAATCGAAAGATCAACAGATCCAAAAAGAGCGTGAAGCATTTGAAAAGGAAAATTTGAAAAGGAAGCGGTCAACCAAAGGGCTTTTAAGTGCTACCTTTAATCTGGATTCCCATAACCAGAGGCTGGAAGATGCTGCCAATGAAATTGGAAGGTTGAATAGATGGTATGAAAAGGCTGTGCAGGAAAAAAAGTGCTAGAGGAAGAGTTAAGGGCTCAGATCCAAAGCTTGGCCCAGACATCCTTAGACCCAGAAGAAAAGTTGAAGTACCTCACTAGTGGACTTCAGGATAGCCAAGAATCAGAAGTCAAAGAGCGCCTGATGAAAATGAGGGTAGAGAGACATCTGACCCAGAAGACTGTCCTGAAAGCAATGAATCATTAGCTTCTGGTTCTGAGCGTATGCATGCATTTTCCTACAGTACATGCGTAAGTGGTTTCTCAGACAAGTGAGCCCTTTATATCTTCCAAAGTCCGGTACTTTGAACTTTGGTGGGATTATTACATCCGTAACGAGACCCATTTCGAGGGCATCGACATCAAAAGCATCATATCCTTCCACAACTTTCAACCTTTCTTCTAGAGCCTTGTATTGACCTAGTGCCAACAAGTTTTCAACAGCAGGGGTATTGGTCACTTTCTGCGGTGCCTGATTAACATCCTCAGGATCGTTATCTCCGTATTGTAAATCCAAGTAATCATCAACATGATTAACTGGAATCTGCAGGGTGGGAGATGCCCCCGCCTTTGGTGGAGGTGGGATAAATCCCTCAGATTCTTGTCTTGTCTCGTGTTGAGCCATGACAGATTTCTGTGGCCCTGTTTCCAGTCCTTTTCTCAGTTGGTGACCGCCTGATGCACCAATGGCTTGGGTTATTTCTTCGAAAGCTACCCTAGGAATCTGTTCTTGTCTATCAATGATGTTCTTCAAAGCTAGAAGAACCTGACTCATGTCTCCCCTCATTGATTCGATGTCGCTTTTAACTTGTTCCAAATCTAACTTAAAAGCTGCTTGATTCCCTTCTATTTGTTCCATGGTTCTTAAGTGGTGAGATCTTGTTTGATACGGAGGCCAAAGAGGTGGTGGTTTCCTTCTACCAATGGTTCAACTGGTGAACATTTTTTGAAAAACGATGAGTTTCTGAATGGAAAATACATGGGATGTAATGTTTTCTGAATGCATGATTATGTATGTGTGATTCTTATGTTTTAAGCCTTGCGTGTCTTATTCACTTGGGTATACATATATATAGATTTTTTCTTTTTTTCATTTTTATTTAGTAAGTATCTGAAAAATGAATACACAAACAAGATAGGAAACACAAACCTTTTATTGAAACATCAACTGTCTTTAAAGGATAATATATCTCAGATACTGAAAAATATTACAATTCTAAATAGTAAATTTGCTGGAAGGAAAATACACCAAAGGAAAATAATATTCTAAGCCCGTTTGCGAATATCTTCTCTAAAACGATCAACCATTGTCCTACAGAGCTTGAGAAAGTTGTCAGCATCCTCTGGGAGAGGGGCCATTGCACTTTCTGCATCTTTTAAGCTTCTGGGAATGTCTTTGATAAGGTTGTTGGCCAAGAACGCGAGCTTCTCGTGCTTATCTTTGTAGTATTGGTACTCTTGGTAGAGGTGGGTAATTATCTTGTGGTTATCCCTTCCTGCTTGGGAAATTTTCATATATTTTTCTTCCCAATACATCTTTTCATCTCTCAGCTTGGTGTAAAGTCTTTGTTGTATCAGGAAGTTCTCCTGGAGCCCCTCCAGTTCAAGGCATACTTGCTCATACTCATCAGTCTTCGGGGGCAGATGTCTCTCTACCCTCATTTTCATCAGGCGCTCTTTGACTTTTGACTCTTGGCTATCCTGAAGTCTAGTAGAGAGGTACTTCAACTGTTCTTCTTGGTCTAAGGATGTCTGAGCCAAGCTTTGGATATGAGCCCTTAACTCTTCCTCTAGCACTTTTT